GACTCAATATTGTTGCAGGAGACGGAACTGAAGCAGACATTTTCTGTACCAGATAGTTCAGGGAGATTAACATGTTGAGCTCTCAGATGATGAGACACGCTTTCACACCTGGGATAGAAGAGTGTCAAGAGGAAGGGGAGAAAGATGCAGGAGGCTCCATGAGCGCACAGATACAGACAGAGAGACAGATAGGGACGAGCTGGAAAGACATGGCCCCCTGTGGGCCAAGAGTAGCATGCATGTCTTATTGTTGCTTTTATTTTAAGTGGAGCCATGAAAAATGAGAGTTTCCTCAGGAATGCAAGCTTTGTTTCTATGAGCAGGTCAAATGGATATCACATCCATCAAACTAGTCAAGATGACCCTACAGTGATGAGGTACTTTTCCCACTACATCGACTACAAAGTCTTTGAAGATCTGGAAAGATTCACCAAAAATCAAACTAGTTTTTTATTGACCAAATAAACAGCAATGTTCAGATCAATTACTTATTCATGTTTTAAATAAAGGTGAATGTATTATTGTATTAATATCACTCTATAACCATAATACGTTACATAGTCTATCTGTTAATTTTGGCTGTCTTTCAAACTAATATGGTCCCGACGTCCTCTACAGTGGACATACTGAAACATTTTTAAAATAAAATAAAATAAAAAAAGTCTAAATTGCAAGATGTTTTTTTAACCCTAAATAGGTAGGAAATCATAAAAAAAGGAAATTGGAAGACACTTTTTTTCCTCGGGTCCCAGCCTTAAAACTTCCCAGTGGTTAAAGCATAACAATAATCCACATTATTCATTCTTAGCATTCAAATGTTGTACAGAGTTAGCCAAGCAAACAGACACTGATAGAAGGTATACTCACAATCTACAATAATTCAACTGTATGCAGTAGCTTTGTTTTTTTTATTTGGGTAACACTTATTGAATTGAAGATAACACACAACTAAGATTATTTTATAAAACATATTTCAACAATTTAAAGATTAGTTAAAAAAGCCAAAGGATAGCGCGCATTGTAGTTTATCTGTCATCGGCTGTTGCTAATTCATTTATAATACATGTCTTTTTTCACAGTAAATTGTTTTATTGCCAGGCGTTTTATTTGCTTAGTCCATATTATTTATTTATATCATTCTCTTTAAGGTTCCAATCCCGTTCTATAAACTATGCATAGCCTTTAGGGTATCATGCATCACAGTTTTATTCAAATCTAAAGTGCATTCAACCAGCAAGTACAAAACCAAAACATTAGGCAATAGAGAGTTTATTTATTTAAAATATCTGTTTAAGTCTGGACACATGAGTTGCAGTCTGTGATGGAAGGTGTGTAGATGTTCTCTCCTGATGTCAGCAAACAGCCATGACTTTATTATGTTGGAGCTTACTACATCTTCATGTGAGGTGTAAGAAGCCGATTGGCAGTAGCAGGTTTGTAACACACTGTAATGTAGACATTTTACCAATATGTTGCAGGTTGAAGTTGAGTTTACTGTCTGCACTGTCAAACATACAGCTGTAATCCACAAGGGGGAGACATTTGAAGAGTATCTGCTGTGTTGATCCTGCCCTCCACTGTGACCTTGCTGAATAAAAAAACAAACCTGATTTCTAATTGAACAATCATGTCAATGCAGATCACCAGCCATGTGTAAATGAATGGCAAGACACCGTACGTACTGTATACTGGGAAGTCTGGGATAACAGGATCGGCTCAGTAACACAGTTTACAGTCGGACCAGATAATGCTGATGAAGGCACAGTCATCTTTACAATCCTAAAAATATATAGAAGTAGCTACAGTACAAATACAGAACCAGTAAAAGAGGGGAAGCTTTGGTGAAGTTTCATTAAGCAGAAGGGGAGAGCATCCATATGTCCCCACAATAATAACTTTCTGGTTTGAAAACCTGTCAGCGGGGGACAGGAACTAACTGGACAGAGAGATGTGCTCTGCATCCAGAATTATTGAATGCAGGGCACACCCCCATAATAGACCTCTTTAAGACTAAAAAAGAAAGGCCTTCACCTACAACCTTTGTATTTTCCTTCCTACTCATTCAGACTAATTAGAGAGAGAACAACCAGGTTCCAGAGCTATCTGCCTCCTTAAAACTAAAAACAGGTTACTTGGCAGCTTCAATAATAATCCAATAGGGCAGATGTCGGAAGCACTTAATCAAATGGGTCGTTACATGTTGCTGCTGTTTTTTGCTTTTAAGGCTGCATGTTGTACTGTATGGGTAGTGATGTCACCTATCTGTTTTATACTGGTTAATATGTTGTTTACAATTGAGCGATGTTACTATTTTTGTATTTCTCTGTCATTATTAATGAGCTCACAAATCACAACTATGTTGATATGGCAATAAAATCACAAGTGCACTAATACCCCATTGTCTGCAGTAAACGTGCTTTTATCTTATGAGCCTTATCTGTTATACCTTCTTACTACACTGTTACAGTTGGAGAGTGACATGCATTGTGGGTAGTTATGGTTTCCAACGTTTGTCTCAATGGTTGTTAGCTGTGTAAATAAACGACACACACCTTATGTCATCAAAGATAAAAGTTGTTCATCTCTATTTCGTCAGAGCTTCTATGTATTTTATTAACAGATAACATTCTGAAAATACAACATACAGAAATAAACATATATAGGTTTGACTTTGTAAATGTCAAATATTTACATTTCAAAAGATAAAGCTTGCATTTTGAGAGAAATAAATGTCCCCTGCCTATAGAAAGCATTCGGTACATTGATGTAAGCAGTGCAAAGTTCAGGGCTGTAGTATCTATATAATCTTGTTACTATGGGGTTCCTAGGAACAAAACAATAAGCTGACCGATGTCACTCTATAAGTGATAAGGTGTGTTCAGGGATCTATAACATTGTCATTGTAATGATATTCTAAGAAAAGATAGAATAGAGTTCCAATTCAAATACTTAACTTGTTTTCTGGCTTATAACTTTCAAATTAACTCTGTGGAGCCCCACGGACTAAGACTATTGGATATAAAGCTTTATACTTTTCCTCAATTGCTTTAAATATGGGAGAGAAACAATGATATAGCTATTGATAGATAAACAGAGAAGTAAAATAAAGGTATTTTTTATGAACTGATTGGTGTTACAGGAAAAAAGCCTTGTATTTGTTTTACACACACAGTTCTTTTGAGTTTCATTACAGAGAGGCAGATAGAATGCAAAGGGCAGAGAGAGATGATGACATGCAGAAAATGTGGTCCCTGGGTCTGAAATGTGGACTCATTAGTAGGTGACTAATGAGTCCACATTTCAGACCCAGGGACCACATTTCCTTCAGTATTATAGAGTGGCGCACAAATGAGTTAGCATTTTACTCGTCTCATCGTCGTCATCATTACTTTGAATCAGGGGTGTATAGCTATTTTTGACAAGTACCGGAGCACACCTATGACTCGCGCATGCATGCACGCGCACAGTTGTGGCATGAAAACAGAAACATATTGAGATAAAAAGTGTGCAAATGTATTTAGTGTCCTATCCATGTGAACATAATTTAAGTGGGATGTGGATAATATCCTGGTCCGCGAAGATTCTTTTTTTTAAATATTGAAGTTAAAAGCATCAATCTGGTGTACTTTGAAGGCAAAATTAAGAGATTAGATCTATGGATACATCTTTCAACACCCATATGAAACAGAACTGTATACAGATTTTCTTTTTCTTTATTCATATTTTACAAATCACCCCCCTTTTAAGCTGTATTTTAGTTTTACTGTCATAGTATGAATTGGAAAGGTTTCATACCTGTTTTTAATTTATTCTCTTATTTTTTTATATCTATAACGGTGTGCCTTGGAAATATGTGTTTACATAAATCGTGATCAAACCGTTTGGACCCACTGAGATAATTAAGTATCTAAACCAGGGGGGGCCAAATCCGGCCCGCGACTTCATTTTATGTGGCCCCGCAAGTGCTTGCAAAGAATATAATACGTTTATTATACCGGTTACATGCCACTTTACAGAAGCAGGTTGCCCATAAACTACATGTCCCACAATGCATTTCGTTTTGTGACATGCGCACTGAAGAGACCTGGACTTCTGCTTTCAGACGTAGTTAATTAAGTTATTATCCTATCTGATAATAATCCAATTCAGAGGCAATAATGTAATATAATACATTATTTTATATTTATATTATATATTTATATCGTTACAACCGGCCCTTTGAGTGCAACCTTTATGCGAATGTGGCCCGTGATGAAATTGAGTTTGACACCCCTGATCTAAACACTCAAGAGAGAGTCCTTTCAGTGCTTCTCAAAGTGTGGTCCGCGAGCGCCCCCTAGTGGTCCGTGAGTATATTGGTAAAATTTCACATTTGAAATAAATTAATCTATTTAAGCTTTCCGCACTCTCGCGGGAATATCTCCGCAATGGAGTGAGCTTAAGTTTCACTTTCGATTGCATGATATAGCCCAGATAAACACCTTCATCACACATGTGGCCACTTGTTTGTACCATTTTCAGGCGATTTGTAAAAAACGATGTGTTTTTAGATATTTGTGGAGTTAGGTGGTCCTTGGTATGAAAAAGTTTGAGAAACACTGCTTTACCTCACCTGAGCTGTATCAGAGACAGGAGAGAACTCTCCACACTTGTTTTACAAACAGCTGTATTATATCCGTTAGCGCATAGCTAACCAGATGCTAACAAGTCAACAACAATCCCCTGTACAAGTGTAGTTGTGTTAATATGTGTAGATTTATTATCATGCTGAACAAAACGTGTAAGTATCATGAATGTGTGTTTGCCACTACAGATATTATGTTCTGCAATATTCCCAAAATCCAATGGAAAACCCATTGTTTTTTTATGGATGGAGCTGTATGGCTTCCATATCATGGATGTATAATAAGAACGTTCCATACAGTAGTGACTCCTATTGAAAGCGTGTTTAAATGATGTAACTACTGTGGCTTTAAGAGGTTAGGCAGCAGCGTGCAATGCATTGCCTTGCTTCCATTGCAACACTGGGGTGTGGCGTAGATTACAGCCTATAATACAAATACTCACAGACTTCCTGGATGAATCAGAGTACAATTACACAGTCTCTATTCAACACCATGTCTGAGTGGAAGCAGAGATGTGAGTCTGAGTGGAGCCTGCAAGGCGCACCGATGCCCGGCAGCCTTGACTGGAAGTCCGTGTTTGACGCCAGACCGCTGGGGAGGAATTTACTGAAGAACCCTTCACCTCACGGTAACACAACACTGTCAAAACATGACTGTCCAGGGAGATTTCATTGAGTTGATCGAAGTTCCATACTAGGATACTGATACACATGTTGATGTAGGCTACGTAGCTCACTTGTTACAGTAACAACTTATGAGAATGGGTGTTTCCAAAGTAGCTTCCAAAGTTTGATCCTGCAGTGGTTTCAGTTTCTTCAGTGTAACAATTCAGCCAATAAGGGACAGGCTTCCTCATGTAGATGTTTTCAGCATCATTGAGCAGCTTTGTGCAACATGAATACCTGCTGTGATGCAAAACTATACTCATGACTTATTGCTTTTCTTGGTTTGGTTAGCAAGTTCATCAATTCTTCTTTAGGGTCTACAGTTATGTACATTGTGGCCTATTTACTAAAATGATTAATTTTGTTCTGCCTTATCAGCTTAAATAAGCAGCTTTTAGTTTGTATGCACCACAAGCTTGGAACAAATGCTGAGGTCTGCCCCAACCCTGTTTTGTTTCTTTAAATCTAGGTTGAAAACCTTTCTTTTTAATGCAGCTTTTTAAACCTTTAACCGTGCCTTATCGTTGCACTTTTAGTTTCAGACAGTATTTTATCGCTTTTATGAATTGTCTTTTTTTTGGTTTGTTTTGTTTTTAATTATTATGTGTTGAATGCTTATGTGAAGCACTTTGAATTGCCTGTGTGTCTTAAAATGTGCTATACAAATAAACTAGCCTTGAACCTTGAACACATCAAGAGGAAAAATGGCAAACAAATAATGACATTCATTCATGGGAAAAACATGAATTCACTTTGATCTATGCAATGAGTTTGCATCACGTTTAATTCCCTCAATTTAAAGGTGAGTTAATTGAGGTTACAGGGTACATTTATCACGAGACCTCTCTTTTCCTTTAGCCCTTGTTGCCTGGAGCCATGGATATATTTGTTTCCAGGTTTTTATGATCTCCACTAAAACCCAGTAACATGGAGGCATTATCATTGTTGTTTGTGGTGTCAGAATTGGTAAATAGCAATGTCTTTTAAAACCTGTAGAAAATAGGTGTGTGTGTGTTCGGTCTGGTTTCCGGCTGAGTTTCGCTGTGTCTCGCTGTCTCGCAGACGGCCACTGGGCTCACAGGGAGGGGGGGGCAGGTGCTCCAACAAGCCATTTAGGACAGAGAGTGAATACACATAATATACAGAGATGCTGTTTGAGAAACCAATGTGAGTTTGGAAAATTTCACAATATAAATCTATTTTAGTAGACCTCAACAATGGAATTATGATCGGTAGAAATGACATGGGACCTTTAACCAATTGCATGAGTGTGAGGGTATTAAAATAAATTGGTCAGTAAGTCAGAGATGTGCAACTACATTTAACTTTTTGTTTTACATTTTTTTTAAATAAATGATTATGGGAAGTGCCCTTTTTCTCACTTGAGCTCCCGCCCCCCAAAATGTCTGTGCACGTCCCTGTAGCCATGTATACTTGCACGTTGTTACTTTTGTAAAAATCTAGTAAACGTTATAAAACATGTCTTCACTGGAAGTGTCTCAAAATGCTGATGTGAGCATTATGAGCTGCTGAGTGATACTTTAGTTGGACACACCCAGTGACCCAGACTGTCGGAAAGATATATTCTTTGGCTTTGAAGTATTACAGTGTGACTAGTGTCTTTAGTAGGAGTGGTACCAATAACAGTTGTTTCTTTGTCTCATTTCCTACTCAGGATTGAGTAAGGACACCCCTCCACCTGAACCTGATCTGCCTGAATTTCCAACACGTGGACCTCCACGATTCCAACCTGATGGTGAGAGGCAGGAGAAAGTGCCATAATTAGCTACAAATGACAACAATGACATTTAAATCAGTTTTAGTAAAAATCTCTTTTAATTTATAGGCGACTTCAGTGACTGGACCACGAGCCTGGAAGTCCTCCCCTATGATATGAGTGGAATCCCAGAAGGTGCCGTGGTCTGTGAATTACCTCAATGCAGGTGAGTGTCTCCCTGTTAATCATGCAGATGTTTTTAACAGTGATTACCAATGATTGTAGACATCCAACTTCAATAGATTGAACTGGTGCATATAAAGCCATAATTAAAATAAATGGATTACATTACCAAGGTCAATCCAAACTTCCTCTTGTGGACAAATGTTATTCTAAAAAGCTTCCAGATATTTTGGATAAAACTAAATGGCATTTTGTTTCTTAGACATACCTGCTCACTGTATAATTATTTCAGTGAAATGTTATTTTATAGGCAAGCTGTTTACTTGTAGCAGATTTTACTTTCTAGATGTTGCTTATGTGGTTGTCTGCTAATTAAGTGCAATTTATGACAATAAGTCAAGAATCATCAGAACTAAGCTGATATTTTCAAATAAAGAAAAAAAACCTCAGATTTCTCTTTCCAGTTTGTCATTCATGTCTTTATTACAACACCACACAGGTTTTTGTTTACCTCCCCCCCTAAATAAGTGATAAATACTATCATTTTAAACTGAATGATTAATAATGAGCATGTTGTGATGTGACTCTTGTCTCTCTGGTCCTCAGCTGGTTCACCATGGAGCAGGTAGTGGACCTGAAGGCAGAGGGATTGTGGGATGAGCTGCTGGATGAGTTTCAGCCTGAAATCCTCATCCAAGACTGGTGGGTTAATGAGCACCACCACCCACCTCACCCACCCATGTGTGAATACTTATCACTGTGGTCTTATCAGCTTGTTATTACACATGAAGCTGACACTGTACTGTGTGTTTCAAAGTTAATCATACACAATGTGCCATTTAGGCTTCCCTCATGGAATGTTTGAATATGTTGGGCATGGACACATGTCCTGCTTGCAGTGTGTGTATTTGTGTAGATAATATATAGAAGATAGTGTTATGATATGAATTTACTAGTTTGTAGCATAAACGTGCATATCTCTTTTGACAAATAAAATAGTTTGCGTAAACAAGCATACATGTATACAATCATATAGGACTATTTAACATTTATTGTATATTTATTATGCTGTACAAAGCCTGACTTTATTCACAAAGTAATGGGTAATATGCTGGGAGCAGGTCATTATCGCCAAGGTCAAGTATCGATTATATACTTACTTAAAAGCCTAATAGATCATTTGAATTATTGATATAAACATTTTCATTTAATAATGACTGTATTGCTTCTGCTAAGAAGAAAAAAAGAGTATGTTCTATACTGCTTCCGTTATACTAATACCAGATTACATTTCATGGAAGTCAGTTGGAAATCTATTAGTGATTGCCGACCTGTAGAATCAATTGTTATCCTTCTTTTATTCTATATCTGGCAGCAGTGGCAGCAATCAATGGGCTGCCACCTGTCAACTCTTATACATGCCAAATGTGAGATGATTTCTTGATACAAAACATTTAATTATCTGTATTTTGTTAGGTATGAGGAGAGTCAGCTGCATGCTTCCATCTACCAGCTGCAGGTGAAGTTACTGGGTGCTGACAAAAGCACAGTGATCTCAGAGCACAGTGTCAACCCCAGTGAGGACCTCAGCAACTACTCACACAACTGGAAGGAGGTGAGTCACTGGTTATAGTCCAATTTTCTAATAAAAATAAGCTTTTTCTAACCAATTTCTCTTAACCTCACTGGAAAACGTCATAGGAAAAACTACAATTTTCAGTATATAAACTTACTATTGAAACCATGTATACTTTAATGGTAGCCATGCAGGCACGTGCACACATAGACATCAAAGTGGGCTTGAGCCCCTGCCCTTTTTCTTCCTCTAGAGAAAGTGCCCTTTTTTCCCCCTTTTTTAAAATAAATAAATGAATATATACTGTATCTACTGCTGTTTGCGCACAGTTTCCCTTTCCAAAAATATATTGATTGAATACAAAATAAAAAGATCAGGTCGGGAGATTAGACTGTGAAGTTCCGATGCTCTCGCTACCCTCCCTCCCCGTCTCCTGCACAGCGGTGCAGACAGCCATCGGCAGTCACTTCAGACAGACAGGTAGCAGCACCTCCCACTTTAAAGTCCCATGTTATGCTTTTCTTGGCTTATTTTGAAGGTGAGTGGTGACTGGTGATGAACACATTACTAAACTGCCAGTGCCTCGAGTTTACAGCTAATTAGCTAAAAGACAAAAACAAATATAGTTAACTAGATAGGCTACTAGCTAATGGATAAGTTAGCTCAAGGTTTAGCTAAGGCAATTTATCATGGACTGGGCATACAGGCTAATGTACTGTACTTAAGGGGAGACACTAAAGGTGAATACAGTCAAATATGTATCTAATAACGTCATCACAATCGCCACATTGATATGCAAATTAGGCGTTAACTAGGCTTAATTAAAATGCGCTAATTTGCATGCAGTTACCAAGGCATTGCAGGTGAAAGGGATAAAACAAAAAACAAACAAAAAAACGTATCATCTCACAACTTCCCCAGATAGTTACTTACGTCAAGTCAGTATTTTCCCCTCAAATGTGATGTTTAACCTGTTAAACCCCGAGCCTGTTTTTCAGGTTTCAGGCTCGAAAATGACATTCCCAGAACAAATGACTATAACTTCTAAAAGGTTTATATGAATAATTGTTGTTATCAAAGCAAGGTTACATCTGTGAGTTGGATGTAGAAGTGTCAGAATCAATATAGATTTTTTTGTGTCAGAGTAAATTCAGATGGAACATAGCAAAAAAATGTAAATTCCTGTCTCCGCCTAAAGAAAACCCATTACTTATAGTGAATGATGTGTTAGTAGCCTAAAAGCTTTAGGAATCCAAAGTATAACATATAATAAGTACCCTGTATCAAGATTGAGGCAAAAACAAGTGACATTTGACCTTTTTAGAGAGGTTTATGAAAATAAAGTCCAGGCGGAATAAGCTTTGGGCACATTTGGTTCCATCAGTGCCATTTGACCTTTTTCAGGTACAAAAAAAAAATATTAAAAAAAAAATAATGATTTTTTTTTTTTTAAATAATTTTTTTTGTTAAATATTTGTGTGTGTAGGTGTGTGTGTGTATGTGTAGGTGTGTATGTGTAGTTGTGTAAGTGTAGCTGTGTGGGTATGTGTAGGTGTGTATGTGTATGTGTAAGTGTAGCTGTGTGGGTATGTGTAGCTGTGTGGGTATGTGTAGGTGTGTAAGTGTAGCTGTGTGGGTATGTGTAGGTGTGTATGTGTAAGTGTAGCTGTGTGTGTATGTAACTGTACCAACGTGCTATACAATAAAACTACACTGTAGGTCATTGTGTGTAGGTGTACTTGCACAATACAAAAAATGGAAACATAGGTAACATTTGACTCCAACTGGGGCAGATTTATTTCAAACATTTTACCAACACACTATAGGCATGTAAAAACAAACATTTTACCAACGTACTATACAATAAAACCACACTGTAGGTTTGTAAAAACAACAAATATTTTACCAACACACTATACAATAAAATCACACTAGGTATATAAAAACAACAAGTATTTTTTTTTTTAAATAAACACTCGCAAAACGTTATACCTACCTGAACTTTATACCTACCTGAATGTTCCAGTATTTAGGTCGTGCCACTCCCTGAAACAGTTCTTTTTGACAGTGAAGCACAGAGGGACCTGGCACTTCCTGCAGTACACAGGTGTCTTCACCCTTTTGAGTCCAGCATCTAGGCACCTCCTGCAGTTCTTCCTGACCTTGGTGGCATCTTCCCCATAATACTCGGGCATGCATGTGAGTGGTGGAGGAGGGGGAGTGGTGGAGGAGGGGGGGGGGGGGGGGGGTGGAGGAGGTGCAGGGCCTTCAGCAGGGCCTTCAGCAGGGCCTTCAGCAAACTCCAACAATTCTGCAGCAAGCTGCTCCCTGAAAGTCTTCTGGGTGTGTGGCTTTGTCCTGTTGGGGTCACTCCTCATCTAACAAATGTGGAAAAACAAAGAGATTAGATTAATTCACTGGCTTATACTTATAGGATAATATTAGACTATAAATGAACAATATTACACCAAATAAATAAGTAAACACATGGCCACTGGCCATTCATTTAGAAAATGTAACTCCAAAAAGACAAGTAACACTATTTAGCATTTTGCCTAATCATTCCTGTAGCTTCTTGGCTAAGCTAACACTGTGATGCAGTTCCACCAAACACAAAAGTAATATATAAAAAGGATAATATTGGACTATAAATGAATAATATTACACCAAATAAATAAGTAAACACATATATATATATATGGGAGTGGCTATATACAGGACGGTCCTGTATATAAGGTCTCTGAAATGGCTATATACAGGACCGTCCTGTACACAACGCCAAATGACTATATACAGGACCGTCCTGTACACAACCCTCTGAAATGGCTATATACAGGACGGTCCTGTATATAAGGTCTCTGAAATGGCTATATACAGGACCGTACAGGAGACATTTAAAACATATGTCATATGAATTATTGCTACATAAACATTATATCGCAGTCTTAGTTTCGCCAACTCCGTTTCTAATATGCAATATGACTATAAAATGCGTCTATAATGTATTTTCGATCTTCCCAATTCAGACGAGAGATCTCTCCCCTGCCTGCTTGCGAGGGGGCGGGGCAGTTTACACACACACACACGCAGCTGCTACATGCAGCAACACACATACACGGAGGAGATGGCGGAGAGAACGCGCTCCGAGGTGTGGTTAAACTTTAGCCGTCTCGATGTGGACAATACTCATAGGCGGCGCGTGAGGCTCAGGTTTGGGAAGGCTAAATAACTTTTTTTTTCATCTTACGCAGCCCGCCTCCGGCGTCTATAGAAAAGAGATCAACTCAGTGAAAGCACCGCCTGCTGACCGATCAGAGCTCAGTGTGCGGAGTTTAAATCTATCAAGTCATATTACAGGAAAAAGGAAATGCAGTTTAAACTGCCGTATGCAGAGAAGACGCCGACGTGTCGCACTTATCATTCATATCACACTGACATCACATCATCAATCAGATCATCGATCTCACAATATTTCCTTATCTGAGTCAGCTTCTCGAGCCGTATCTGGCCGTGCAACACTTAGTTACATTGTCACATATAGCCTACTGTATGCAGACGTATTATTTTAAGCAACACATTAAGTTGACGAAACACTCAACTCAAATGTAATAAAGTCAGATCCCCTCGTGTTTTAGATGGGGCAGTATCATAAAACTGTTGTACGCTTTCAAACACTCGGTAGTTTATTTTTTAACGAGTTGTTCTGTATTCTCCTTGCAGGTGCAACTATGTGGCTTGTATCCTGGATTATATGTTTAAGTCATCATGGATGTTTAAAGTTCATATTTGTCTAATATTAGTTTACTTTTCATTAATGAAGTATGATGTTGCGCTGTCAGTACACTTGTCCCTGTTTGTGATTGGTCAAATGTAGCTAACCCCGCCCCTTTCACGTGAACGCGTTCTCAGCTGGAGAGAGAAACCCTGGCTTGATTTACCGAGTTGATAACCAGCGCCGTAGGACCGTTTAGCGAGATCGCGTTTGTTAGGGTTAGTTAAGATAACTCAAACATATCCAGGGTCTGTTGAACTGGCTTCGTGGTACAGGGCACAGGTGGCTGCATAGCAGCGCTAATGTCAAAGACATTATATTTGTATTTTACCAGGATGCAGTTACACAAATATTTGGGAAGGCTTAGCCTTCCCTAGCCTACAGCACCCGCCGCCCCTGACAATACTCGTTACCAAAAGTGCAATAACAGTTTAGCATGTAAGGGCGGTAACACGAGCAATTTGTCTAAACATTTATCAAAAGTGCTCCACATTCACACGGAGGAATGCACCGGTTTCCACTGTCTTTCTAGCAGCTCTGTAGCTCCGTCCACGAGTAACGTTTCCACGTCAGGTGTTATGTATGCTAGCAGCAATACACAGAGTTAACTCAGTTATACAAACATGGGTTAATGATTAGAGGAAACTGAGTTATTTATTTTGTTAAAGTTTCAGCTATTCTGTTTACAGTTCTGTCATCACATTATTTAATATGATTTGTTAAAACATTGTTGTTTCTTTTGATGTGAAATATTATGCATTTAATTAAAATAAAAAGCAATGTTAGTTTTGTTCACAATTTGTTTAGTTAGTTTACCTTATTTCTTGTCAAAAGAACCGTTAATACTATCGTTAAAAGGACCGGATCGATAAGCAGTATCGATATAAGTAGTAGTACAGTTAAAACCTTAACGATCCGAATAATCGATTAATCGTTTCATTAATCGATAGATTAATCGATTATCAAATTAGTCGTTTGTTGCAGCCCTAGTTTGAAACCAGAGGGTGACCTTCACCCATTTTAGAAATCAAACCTGACATTTCATGTCTTTATCGGCATAAAAATCGAGTCGCTTTTTATGTAGTCTACAGAAATATGGATATAATTGGTGTACAATTAACGTTTACAGCAGGATAAATTACAAAAATGTACAGCATACTACATAGAATTCAAAATACGGTTTCTCCGATTTCTAAAATAAAAAATGCCGGCGTAACCGATAAATGATTTGTGTTGCTTTCAATGCAAAATCACACGTCAACGAAAT